GAAGCCCCGGCGATCCGTTTGGTACAACTATCAGCAGCAAGAGAGATACGAACACAACAATGACCGGGCGCAGTTCGACGACGGGGGGCTCTTTGCATTCCCACTGCTTCACTACTTCCGGTTTACAGGCTTCACTATGGTGAAACCTGTGAACTCCTGTGAAGCTGGAGCAAGCTCGGTGAGCCATCATGGTAAACCTAGGTAAGACCTGTCAACTCCTGCAAGCTTACGATCGACACGTCCATGGGAAGCAGCAAAAGTGCAAATGCCGTCTCACTCCCTCCTCTCGCCGACCTCTAGGGGCCCCTAGGAGACGTACCAACATAAAAATAACCGTTCTGTTCGAACAAAACAGCTTAGGCAGACGTTAACTAAATGCCCTCCCTTCGTAGAGTTGCGTTGCACCAGCATCTAACTTTGATATCTGGAAATGGGAATAAAATTCATCAGCTATAACCCTAATGCTACTGCTTTGACCCAACGATTGATGACAGAGTGATACAAAATTATTAATAAAAGATGGCTCTCATTCGAAAACGATAGATTGCCTACCGCTGCAGTCAGCGTTTGCTCCAGCGGTATTGTCTCACCAGCCACAGAGAGCTCAGTGACTCATAGCAGATTGCTGTGAATCAGGTCCCGATGTCTCTGCACTTTTCCACACTTTATGCGTCTCCTCCACCGCCATCGACTCAGCAGCTTGGTAAAAAGCAGCTGCAGAGAAGCAGAGTCATCGACGCAGCCCCCAACAAACAGGAATTGTTGCAGGCAGTGTCTGGAGATCAATGCCGCATTTCGCCACGACTGACATAGTCGATGAGAAGACAACGAAGTGCAGGACAAAGCGACTGTATGAATCGCATGGCGTAATAACCGACAGCTTGCACATGCGCAATTGGAGACAAAAAAAGCAGCAGTAAGGCTGCGTTCACACTTTGTGACAGCGTCCACTGGCTGGTTTCGAGCGTCGTGCTGTGTCAGCGACTGAGAAGGTACAGATATCAATTAGCGTCTCCCTGCGTTCGCCAGCGTCTACCAGCGTCCACTAGCGTCTCGAGGGCCTGGGAAGCAAGGGGTATCGATCTAGCGCCTACCAGCGTTCGGGAGAGTACAGTATGGCGCGATAGGAGGGCACCAGACAGCCGGTACACTCCCATACTCTACCAGCTGCCTGCTACCCTTCTATCGCGCCGTACTCTCTACCAGCAGTCTGCTGCCCTCCCATCTCCCATACTCTACCAGCTGTCTGCTACCCTCCTATCACGCCATAATCTCCTCTCCCGGACGCTGGGAGACGCTGGTGCACGCCGGCATACGCTTATAGACGCTAGATCAATACCTATACTTTCCAGGCCCTTGAAACGCTGGTGCAGGCTGGTGGTAGACGGTGGCGCACGCTGGCGAAGCCGGAGGCGCTATCTATACTTTCCCAGTCGCTGACGCTGCCGGACGCTGTAAACGTTAGTGGACGCTGACGTTACTGGAGCTGCCGCAAAGTATGAACGCAGCCCTACGCCATTCCGCAAACGCTGCATGACCAACCAATTTCGTAG